TGCGACGGTGCGTACGTGGAGTCTTCGTCCGGGTTGAAGTTTTGCGACGTCGTCGTCGGCGAGGGGGCGTCGCCGGGGGCGAACACGCAGATCGAGGCGCACTACACGGGACGGCTGGAAAACGGAAGCGTGTTCGACTCGTCGTACGAACGCGGATCGCCGCTGAAATTCAAGGCGTCGCAGGTGATTAAAGGATGGGGGATCGGAATCCTGGGCGACGGCGAGAGCGTGCCGGCGATGAAGGCTGGTGGGAGACGGAAGTTGGTCATTCCGGCTGATTTGGGATACGGCGCGAGAGGCGCCGGCGGCGTCATCCCGGGGGGGGCCACGCTGTACTTTGACGTCGAACTCGTGCGCGTGCTGTGAGTTCGATGCCGTTACTTTCGTTTCAGTCCGTTGTAACAGTCGATCGTCGTTACATTCGACCGTTCTCATCGATGTTTTCTTCCTCCCTGTCGCGCGCGGGTTTATCCAGAAAGCCACGTCATCGAATCATTCGCCACTCGGCGTCGCGCCGACGCTTCCGTCGACCGCCTTTCCGCGGACACCTCGCACACAATGCCTATTTTTTGAACCATCAAGACCGCCGCGGACTCCGTGGCGTACGCCGTGGGTGCCAAGGATGAACTCCGAGGCACCGGTGTGTGGTCCTTCGTCAAGGCTGACCGAAACGGTTCGAGCGGGAACAAAGGGACGGCGTCCAAGCCGAAACCGGCGAAGAAGAACTCGCCGACGCGATTTCCGGGAGGGAAGAAGTGATGCGCGTCCTCTTGGGCGCGGATGAAGTGAAATCGGGGCGATGCGCGAGACGGGGCGCGAGCGTGACGAAGGATGAGCTCAATCGAGCCGTAGCGAGCGTCGACGCTCGTCCTTTCGATTACGCGCACTGTCTCGCGAAGAGCGTCGATTCGCGTGAGATATCTTTAATTTTGTGGCGACCGCTTTACCTGCTTTTGTAACGACGGAGCGAGTTTGTCTGTATCGTACAGCTGTGACTTTGTTGTACACAGTTGCTATCGCTAGGGTAATGTGGTTCAACGAAGCCATGAGGGGCGACGCACGTCGTTTTGCGCACCGTCGTCTTCGTCTTCGCCGTATTCAGATGCGCTTCGCTCTGTTGACGCGTCATCGGCGAGCGTGCCCTCGTTATCGGAACCTGAATACTCGAGCTCCTCCGCGTCGGCGCTCTCGGCGACAAGGTATGAGTCATTTTCGCGATGATCGAAATCGTTTCCAGCACCGAGTGCGCGAATGTCGACGATCGGAACGCCGTAGCGGCCGCCATCGCGCTGGTTCGTCCCTCTGGATCCGCGCTTCGCGTGCGCTTCGTCCCCGGCATAGAGCGACGACTGTCTCTTGCTGTTCTTCCGCGTCCAAGGAGCGCCGCCCTCGTACTCTTTCGTTGGATCGTACCCGTCCGATCGGGCGACGACGCGGTCGTCGAATGCGTCGACTTCCAAAACCTCTCTCGAGATTGCAGAGTCCCCGCGCTCGGGACCGTCCTCGTGTAAACCGTCTCGCTCGAGCTCGAACACTTGCTGTTTCCGCGGGAATATGAATTTGTACTCGGCCTGCTCCTCGGGCGCATACGTCTCTGAACCGACCAGAAGTCCCGTGAGAATCGCGACGTGAAAATTCGGTAGCTGTTTCCACGAATTCGCGACTTTCTTGCGCTTGGTCGTGCAGTGAAAGATGTAGGAACCGACGATGAATAGACAGCCGCATCCCCAGACAGCAAACTGCAGGCCGAGGAACGGCACGCCAGCCTCGCTGAAAGGACGCTCTTTGTACCGCAGCGGGATCAGAGGAGGCGAATTGATCACCGTAGTCTCGTTCACCGAGCCGACGGTGCTCGTGCGGTATGCGTGAAAGTACGCCGTTGCCGTCCCGGTATCGGCAACCGTGGCCATGAGTGCACTGTTGTCGTGCAACGGATGTAACATCAATCCACCGACGGATTGTTCAAGCGCCTGGCGGTCGTTGACGGCCGAATCCTCAAAACCTTTGCCCGGATGCAATAAATCCGGTGTCCAGTGGATGGAAAACATCCAAAGGCCGACGAAGCAGTGCACGAACACGGACACGAACAAAACTTCGACTATCGTCTTCGCGAGCAACGTTCTTGTTCGGTCAGGCGTTTTGCAAACCTTGAGGAGCAAACGGTAATCGTACAGAGAAACGATGACGAAGAACATCGATGCCACCAAGTACAAGAGCGGCATGCCGCTCGAGTACGTCATGGCTGCCATGACAATGTAACACACGTCTCCGGCTTTGGATCCCGTGTCAAACTTTGGCCCTTCAAAAACATGGTCGAGTTTTCTCTGAGTGTGAATGTACGACGCAACGAAAGTACGCTTAAACCTGGTGAATATGTCGTCCAGTAATCGCTCGATGAATCGCATGGTGGCGCTCATCATGATGCTGAAGAATATCACCAGCCCGACGTCGTTGTACCAGGCGTTTGTGAAGTCCTCGTATTCGCCTGAGAGTCCAAACATTTGCTTGAGCAGAGGCAAGTACTTCCCCGCACGCTGTAGATCGGCGTTGAGCAAGCAGTAAATGACGGCCACATTGATATATTTGACCATGAATTTCATCTTTGTCGCGAGCATCTTGGCCTTGCTTCGCGTGCGAAGACGCTCCAAGCTGATAAGAACGGGTGAGAGGAGAGACGGAACAATATTCAGCAACGAGATGACGAACGCGGTCCACAGCCAGTTGTAGTATTCACCCGGACCCAGATTCACGTAGCGCTCGCAAGAATAACGAATGCTCTTACTGTACGCCTTCACAATGCTCTGCGGTAGGCCGTACCTCAAACTGGCGCAGTGGCAGGCATAGCAATTTTGCAACGTCGCCTGGCCAGAGGGACACCGCTCCACGTCGTCGGCGCACTCTGTGAGATCACGCACGAAGTCTAGCTGTGCGTACTCGCGATCCCTCGCCGTTGCGTTTGGATACTCGTAGAAGACGTACAGCGGTGAACCCCAAGGTAAACCAACGTGAGTCTTGTACTTTGAGAAGGCCACACCGCATTGATCGAGACGCGTCTCGCACGCTGCCTTGAACTGGTTCCCGTGCGTCTCAAACAAGCCATTGGGCGGCGCAGTTTGAGCGACGACGATCCCGACATCACTTGCAAGCGTTTGCGGGTACATATCTGCGTTTGCGTAGCGCTTCTCCTTGTCCATGACGAGCAATTTCAACAAACCATAACACGTAACGACTACGGCGGCGCATGCGATGCCCGTCAACGGGTGTCGCCACCATCGATCTGACAGATTGAGGTTTTCGTAGTACACGTCTTCGGGGTCCGGCGCTTCGCGAACCTCAAACCTAATCTTTCCTCTGAATCTACTCTTTCTCGGGAAGGCGAAAATGTACGAAATCCAACTTCGCTGGTTTGTGAGGAGGCAGTCTATCTTTGAGCACTCCGTCTCAAACGTCACGAAGGCGCACGACGTCTTCGCTCTCGTCCGCGCCTTCTTTCTCGCCAACTTACGATCGACGTTAATGATCGCTTCCTCGATCCGTACCTTTCTCGCATCCCCACCGCGATTCCCCGCGGCAAGGAGTGCCGCCTCTGCTTCATCGTAATCCTCTAGCAACCGCGTGCGTCGTCTCAACGCTCGGACGTGCATGCACTCGCTCTTCACCACTGTTACCGCCCCCACATCGCCGTAGCGCATCGCGAAGAAACATCTGACCTCCTCTTCCGTTGCGTCGCTCGGTAATCTCGTGACCAAGACGGAGTAATCCCTCAGCGTCGCCGTCCCTCTCTCCACTCGTCGCTCCATGTTCACGAGCCACACGTACATGATCGGCGTCGCCAAGAGAATCATCACCGTCGACGCGATGTCCAGACCCACCGACAGACGAATGAAATCGATCTTTGACGAACTCCATCGCAACATCTTCGCCGACGGCTCGGCGAGCAACCACGCGCGCTGAGGCACCGTATCGGGTGCCACGGTTCCTAAACTGGCGCTCATCGGATTCGCCCAGTGCCAATTGACGTACCAGGAGTGAAACGTCGGATTCGGCGACGTCGCGTTCACCGCGTCCACGACCGCTCGCCCAAATCCCTTCGATGGAACCGCCTCGTACTCCGACGCGTAATACGTGCTCGTATAATTCACGTACATCGCCGGCAAGTTGATCGCGAACGCCGCAAAGAACAAAAACGCGAGCGCTCGCACTACGAAAAAATACCCAGCCACGCCCGCGCCGAACTCCAACCCCATATCGAACTGATCGAAATATCTATATCGTCGCACGCGCCCATCGTCGTCGTACGTCCTCGGATGCGTCGCGTTCGCCTTTTTCTCCGCCTCCGCCGCGCTCGGCGCCGCGTACACGCCGCGCGCGCGCGCCTCGTCCCGCGCATCCTTCACGCGCTCGTCCTCGAACGCGCGTCCACGTCTTCCATCCACCGACGTACCCACCGCGCGTCCATCCGCCGCGCGCGCCGTCGCCGGGGCGGCGCGTCGCCACGCCATCGACGACGCGCGTCGAACCAACGCCCCGCGGCTCGTCGATCGCGTGTCACCGATTTCTCCCACCCCGCGTCGTCGTCGTCGTCGCGCGGTCGACGGCGAGGGGCGAGTCGACGCGCGCGCGACGCCGCGTCCGCGCGTCGCGTCGATCGAGCGCGCGGCGCGGTGAAGACGCGCGCGCGCGCGGGGATTCCCCTAAGTCGCTCTCGTCACCGGTCGTCACCTTTCAAAACACATCGACCGGTGGAAAATACCTTTCGAATGGTAGCATCGACCGGTGCACGCCTTTCGAGACGTGCGCGCGGTGCGCGCGGCACACGGCGACGCGCGCGCGATGGACGCGCGCGGCGACGAACGGGGGCGCGGTCGGCCGCGACGCGTGCACGTCGTCGCGGACGCGCGAGCGATCGCGTCGGGGCGACGGGTGACGGAGGGACGGGGCGACGGAGGGAAGGATTTGAATTCGTACCTGTCGCTGTTTAAAGTCTTCGCGCGACGCGCGTTGGAGCGCGTCGTGGACGGGCAGGGGGTGAGCGGGGAGTTTGCGCTTCGCGCGTGCGACGCGTGGATCTCGCCGCACGCGTTCGAGCGCGTGTGGGGGGGTGGGGATGATTGTACGGGTGGCGGGA